CCCTTTTTCGTAGAGAACCAACGTCGTTTATTAGCTGTATCACTCTGAGGATACGTTCGAATGGCGCCAAATGTTGTGACATATCTCAGGGGGTTAGGATGTTGGATGATGAATTTGCCATGAGAGTTTTCCTAAGAACACAACACAGAGAAGAATTGTTAGAGGACGTCTGAGTGTTCTCCCGGGACGTCGCTCCAACAATCAAGTTAGATTACTGAGATAGGTAATTTTAGGGTAATCTTTTTGAGAGAGAAGATGGTATCCCTTCCTTGAGGCGGGAGAGAGATCATTTTATACCTGCCTCTAATGGATCGCGAGGACCTTATCCGATGAGCGTGAAACGTGGCCTCCTCTGACTGGGAGAATCATACCCACGTTAACTAATTATCTGGTGACGTCTACTGTGATCATCACCTAAGCTTTCTGTCACATCTTGGTCTGTTGTGAGTGAATGAGTAGATTGCGAGGGATATCCATCCCTCACAAAGAAAAACGAACTGCCACCCCGGTATTAGATTGCCTTGGCCAACGCTGGACCTTGGCCAAAGTCCTGAGGAGATAACATCTCGTTTATGATGTCCGTTACATTTAACGGGACCATTTATGGCAACGTTAACAGATACCGTAGATGTTTTAATAATCAATGAAAAACATTTTTTCGGAAATACGTTTATGAGACTAAATTCCACATATATAAATAAACTCTATTTTAAATAAGTATAAATAAAAAATTTTAAAATCACCGTAAAAATGGGGACGTTACAAAATCTCTCTTTCGAAATTAAGGTCAACTACCATAATGTTTTCAGTTACAATTAGTTAGAATTTCACTTGATATAATGTCCAATGAAGAAAATTGTATGTGTGCATCTTCTGTGGGTGTGAAGAGCAATAAATACCATCGCTTTGTATCTTTACATTCTTTTGTGCTACAAAATAAAAGGGAAGTAAATGAAAGTGTGTGGTTGTCTTGGTGTTCAGAAATCAAAGCGAGAAAAGAGGAAATATGAGATTATGAATAAGTGATCGAGAGAGGAAGAAAAGTCGATGAAACAACAATTATAATTACTTGGCAGTTTTGTTTTGAAGAAAAGAACCATCGCTTCCGATGGTGGTGATCGTTGGTCATGGTATTGGCGGTGTCTAAATATGATTGTGGTGCTAAATGTTGAATTTATTCGAGCAAACAATCCATGAAACTTCTTCATTTTATTTTTGAAGCCAAGTATTGAAGATATTCTTTCAACACTAATTTTATATCAAGTAATTTCATGATTAAAAGGATGCAAGGTTTATGAAACCAGAAGTGGAGTCAAGATTTCAAAATAAGGGGCTTACCATATACCCTAATAACATATTAAATTATAATATATACCCACATAAAGTAAAATTGTCTAAATTTGACAAACAACATTTTGTGGATAGAAGCTCCATTGGTCGTTATAATAATCAATCTTCAAAATTTTCAAAAGACCATAATCATTGCTTATATTCATCTTCTATTCGATTGTAAAAAGAATGGTTTTTTTTTTTTTTTTTTTTTTTTTTTTATTTTATTATTATCTTAATTTGCCCTATAATTATAGTAAACCAAATTATCAAATATTATTAAATTACTAGTTATAAGTTACAGAAAATTAAATATGCAATAAGAATAAATATATATAAAATCTTAATTAGAGAATTAAATATACTAGCCATTACCCGCGCTAGACGACTTGAGGATGGGTGCAATTTTTATTTATTTATTTTTTTTTTTAAATAAGCTTCTATAAGTGATTGTTTTTTCTTGCATAAATAGTCACTACATCTAAAAAAAACTATTAATAAGACACACTGTATTAATGAATATCACTAAACATTACTTTCAGTTCAATAATTTGTTTTTTTCTTTTCGACAAATGCTTTTAACTTAATCTAATTAGTTATAAATTTTTTTTTGGTAGTGTCGTTATAATTGTATTATTTATTTATTATTTTATTATAAAATATAAAATATAATAATGACACTTCTTGGTTTGACATATTGTTTAAGCTAAATATACAATTAGAAAGGAGAGGAGGCGTCTTTATATATATAAAGAGAAAAAGAGGTAGATTCAAATGTTTTCTACAACTATTGTATGTATGTGTGGACCAATGAGAATTTAACAATAATTTAAATATTAATTAAATAATAAGGGTAAATTAGTAAAATTACATATATCTATTAATCAATATCCAAATTTAACCATTCATATCCTTTTTTGGGGGGATCGGTTTTTTTAAGTACCCTAGACATCGACTCACGTCTCAAAGGAAAGCGACCTTTCTTCCTCACACAACAATCGATTCTTGACGCATTAAAGGAAATCGACCTATCTTCCTGACACAATAACCGATTATTATTTATCTATCTCCACCATTGGTCGCCTTCTAAATCATCTCTGCTACTGCTGATTCAAAGACCTTCAATTTGTTGCTCGATCCAAAGACCATCAATTTGTTGGTTATACGTTAGAAACAGAAGAACATCTTGTTGTCACAGGTAATTTTTCAAAAATTCATGTTTTATCAAATTCTTTAAATGTCACTCCAGAAACAATTACTGGTCTAATTTAAAAGAAAGAACAAAGACAAAAGCGCAAAAAGTATACAACCTTTTTTTACATCTTTACTTGAATTTTTGAATTTTCATCACCTCGTGCTTTTGATTTTAGTACAAGTTAATTATTTGTATTTATTAAACATAAAAATTTAAAATGTGTTTAATTTACGATGAAATATCTCTATCTGTAAATTTTAATTTTTTTACATCATTCTTCTTACTATAATTTCTAAAATTCAGAAGGCATTTGATTATTGTAGATCAACTGTTTGTTAAAATGCTTGAATCAAATATTTCATCCATTCATTTGCACATGATGTTTTAATTTGCTTATGATTAGTTATTTCATACTCTTGATAATACAAATTCGTTAAGTATATTCAAAACCATTCTTGGAGAAAAGTTTAAGAACATTCCGTGTTGCAGGAAATCGAACCTCAAATGTCATTTTTTGCGATGGAGACGTCCAATGGCACTGATGACCAGAAAAGTTTATCATCTCATCTCTCAATTGCAATAGTTAGAAGTTTGATTCAGGCTCCAAATATGACATCGTTAGGTAACTCTTATCATCTGTTTTCTTAAATTGTTATTCATGTCTTCGAGAGTCATTATGGTTTGAAATGGATGGAAGTTGCTAAAACACCCATGTATTATGCCATATATTATGTATTTTACCAGAATATATATCAAGATTTTAAATAATCTATGCATTATTAAACTTTTAATTCTCATTAGGATACCATTAGTGTTTGTTCGTTACTTTTTCTCTTGGAATGTATAAGAAAAACCCAATTGGTGTTGTTTGTTAGAAGAAATTAGTGTATTATGATGTGGAAGTTAAGTATGAGTTGTGAATGTATTTGTGTGCATTCTATCAAAATTTATTTATATAAATTCATTCTTTCAGAATGTTTGTATTCTAGCAGAATGTATTTTATGTATTCTGCCAAAATTTATAAATCAAATATTATCAACAATATTATTTTAGAATGGGTTAGTGTTTTTGTTAGATTTTAATGGGTTTTTTTTCTTTTAGGTTTTGAAGAGTTTATCATTCATGTGGAAAAGAAAGAAAATATCGAAAACAATAGTGTCTTATACTAGAACGTATTTCGCCAGAATGTATAAAATGAATCTTAGCAACATTATTCTTTCAGAATGAATTAATGTTTTTTTGTTGGATTTTGATGTTTTTGTTGCATTTGTGATAGGAATGGCTTGAAGACCTTATATAAATGATGTGAAGAATGAATCAAACGTTGATCATACTCACAGTTTAAGAATGTTGTTTTTTAAGAATTACACTTGCTATTCTTTCAGCTATTCGTTCAGAAAGTTGTTATTATTCAAGAATGTTCCTTTTGTATCACAATCATAGAATATAATTATTTGATATATTATTCAAGAATCGATTTTGTATATTGTTTCATAATGTACTTATTCATGTTTTCTTCTTATTTATGCATTCTTCAAGGATGATATATACTGTTATTCTAACAGAATGCCATTCTAACAAAATTTCATTATAATAGAATCGCATTCTGACAGAATAAAATAAGATATAATTGGTTATAGTTATAGATTCAATTAGAATTGAAATTGAATTAATTTAAAGAAACCATAATGGACCCTTCAAATTCGAAAATTTCTTTTTTTAAATATAGTTAATTGTCTAAAATACTCTTTTAATTAAATTTGAATGATATTATGGTACATGATATTCCATTGTAATATCATAGACCCTCAAAATCTTAGCCATTTATTATTTTCATCTGTTGGTCCAAAATTCTCCTTACATGCACACAATAGTTACCTAAAACAAAATAACCTAACCATATGAATGAAAATCATCTTCACCGTATATGTAATCACTACAAAAAATGTCAATTATCGATGAAAACAAAATGGTCACTAACAATAGAAGGAGTCATCACTAAATGATTTAGTGGCCAAACATTTGGTCGTCACTTTTTGTCCCTATAGGTCCGTCACAAAAACTGATTAGTGACGAAAATATAAAAGTGGTCCCTAAATAGTGACTAATATATACTAATCACTAAATCTTTGACGACCCGTTTCATCACTAAATGTTATCACTAATGAATGAAAGTCGTCACTGTTTTTTCTTAGTTAATGACCATAAAAAGTTGTCACCGTCTCATCCGACTACCGACCATAGAAATTCGTCACTAGTGTATCCAATTAGTGACCATAGAAAGTCGTCACTGATTTATCCAACTAGTTACCAAAAAAACCCGTCAAAAGATAAGCATAAATTGTTCTCGAATTTGAACAAACCCACAATATATAGTATTGAAATGACTAAAAAGTAACATCATATATTCACATTTAGACAAAGTAAGCATTATACAAAATATTCAAAGATGATAGATTCAACCTCTTCTTTACCATGAAAATAAAAAAAAAAAAAAATGAATCTCATTGCAAACAAAGAGTCAAAGACAAATAAGAGTAAGATAAGTAGATGTCAAGTTTCATTGCAATCCACGACCTTGTTTTGATGCTTTCAAGCATGATATGCCGTCCTTGACCTCTACAATTAAGAGTTGATGCAAGTTGCATCCAGATGGTTATATCTCATAAAGCCTACAATTTTCATTATGATTTTATAAACTAAAAGCTTAAAGATTTTGTAATTATTCATACAAAAAAAGTGAGATCCCCTATTGATGGCATCATAAGGTATGCTTTATGCAATTTTGTGTGTGTCATTTTATCTTCATCAACATATAACAAAACCATAAGAGTGCAAAAGAAGTAATGAAAAAAGACATTAAAATGTAAAAGCATTATAAAAATTACTTCCTTGTGATTTGGCATTTCCATGACTCTTGCTAACTTTGAAAGATTTTGTGCAATAATTTATGAGGTTGTCATGCCCCATCATTTGAATGAAAAATTTCAAGAATTTATGAATTAATGGGAATTCGAAAAAAAAAAAAAAAAGTCTACCTCCTCTGATATCACAAAAGGCCTTGTGTTCCTCTCTTCAAGATATGCTCAAAATCAGCAAATTAATATCTATATATGTATATGTCAAAAAGACATTATCAAGAAACAGATTAATGTTTACAACTAGTGTTAGAATAGCAAAAAGAAGAGCCCCAAAGAAGTAGGTTGAGGTTGGTGAGTCAAAGATGATGTGATGACTATTCCTTGTCCAAGTGATCGAGTAAAAAATGTTGTTGCTTCTGGTGGTTTAAATGGCTGAAAAAATAAAATAATACTTCATATAATGATAGTAATTAACTTTTAATAGTTAAAACTAGTACCTATCGTTTGAAAACACCTATTCTAAGCATGGAAATCACTAGCTGATTAACTAGAAAACTCAAAATTATCGAAAAATAATGTAACATTTGTATGATTTGACTGGAGTTTGGTCGAGAATCTGGATCTTCCATCCAACTTGGCCTCACATTCTGAATGATAAAAAGCAACTAAGTATTATAATTACACCCCTCTTGTTTTACTATTTTACCCTTTAGGATATAATATAAAATTACTTTTTTACCTTGAAAGATGCAGAATAAGTAGCTTGGAGGTTGTATATACCCTCAAAGGGTAGTTTGTTGTGTAAAAGTTCCCATAATACAATTACAAAGCTATAAGCATCTACTTTCTAGTTGTAATGCTTCTTTTCTCCTTGTCTTAGTGTCCTAGTAGTAGACAACTGTTAGAAAAATAAAAAAGACATTTAAAATCTTTATATTTGACAAAAAAAAAAAGTTTAAAACATACAGTATAAAATTACTCTGGATTCTGGAGCCATCCAATGATATGCCCCTATTTTGGTAATCATTATCTCGGTAACTAATTGTCTCTTCTCTTGCTAATCCAAAGTCTACAAGTTTAACTGTTCTTTGATCTTTTGTCAACATCAATTTTTCTATAGAAAATTAGAAATTAGATTAATTGTAGGATTTAATAGATATCATTAGCCATGGGTATGCTTAGTTAGATGGAATGGAATGACTTATTACATTCCATGATAACTTTGGTTGAAATTGAATTCCATGAGTTTGTGTAATGAAAGTTGAATTTCAGTTTACAAGTGCTAGAGATTGGAATTGAATTCCATGAGTTTATGTAATGAAAGTTGAATTTTGTTGCTTGTAGGATTTAATGGAATTCAACTCAACAATCATTTGCAACCAAATGTCAGAATGGAATGGAGCTGAATTCAAATTCAAGTATACTACTAATGCATAAAAAACAAAATAATAGAAAATCTTACCTCTTGAAGCTTTGGATTTATATCAAGCATCTTCTTATCTAATTCTTTCGATCTACTTTCCATAGCCTCCCTAAACCTGAGTTTGTGATCCAATTCCAAACGTAGTTTCTCCACCTATAATAAGGAATAAAAACCTATAAAGTACAACAGAATGCAAATCATGACATAATTTGATAAAAATTAATTCATTGCATACATACCAGCTTCTCCAACTACTGGGAATGTGTGTGGGCTTTTTGATTATGCTCCTTAACATCTGAAGATCCTTTAACGTAATTAAACACAAGAACATAAAATATTTTAACATTTTGAAAGCATGTATTCATGGATGAAACAAAATATGTATTATAACCATAAGTACTATATCTCATACAAGAAGAAAAGAGCAACTTTAATTTTTCATCTAATCTCAAGACAAGATAAAAGCTATAAGATGGAGATTAATGAGAAAAGAAAGAAATTTGAAAAATGATTGTATTCCTTTTCACGTAATTGACAACTATACTCGAATCAAAACATACAATATGGAGAAATCAGCACACAATTTCATCAGAACACCATGATTTTAAGAAATCAACATGCAATTTCATATCAACGATTTCATTACCGAGAAGTCACCAATTTAATCAGATTTGGAGTAGAGCATTGATTTCAACAAAAATAAACAGAAACTAGGAAAAAAAAATGAAGAACGGACTAGATACTTGAAGATGAGTTGGAGTTATGTTGTGCGATGGTGATGTCGAAGGTGTGGAGGGGTGAGACGATCGAAGATGCAAGAGACGACGGATGGAGCTGCGAATTTGGAAAGGAACGATGTGGAGGAGCGTCAGCTGTTAGGCGAGAGAGAAGACAAACACGTTTAGGTTAATGATAGAAAATAAAACTTATAGCTACTATTTAGTAGAATGGAATCAGGGAGCCGATTGATTATCTACTATGCAACATGAGAGCAATAGATGTAGCTACATCAATGGTCAGAACGGAGAAAAAAAGTACATGTTTGACTTCGAGTGGGGATCAGAGGTGCATCGATGGGAGGGTATGGAGCGACGATGGACTAACGACATTGATGTCGAACTGTTGGCATGTCGAATTAGGGCAAACTATGAGGAGAGATGTGTTGATGAGAGGCGGGATGTCTTTTCAACATTAAGATGAAAAATCATCTCAACACTTTCATCCGTATATTATAATAATGGAAAATAGAAAAAGGAAAATTAATTTCTTTATTTCTAAAACACCAGAAGAAAAAGGCCAAAAGGGTCCAAAAATGAATTTAGGTCACCCATATCTGGGAAGGGTAATATAATAAATATGTTTAATAAAAGGGTTTTGGTTAGTTGTGGATAAGTGCTCAGGAACATAAATAAGGTTTACTCAAATGTAATGAGCTTTTAGACAATTATGTATGAAAGAAAACAAAGCTTTAGTGGATACTAGTTTGTGATCAATAATTGTTTTTCATTTTGTAATTCAGTGAACACTATTGAGTGATAAAGTGACATTTAAGTCGAATAACCATGATTAGCTAGTGACTTATTTTTGGTCACTTAATTTTCATTGACCACTATTTTTTTGTCACTAGACCTAACATAATGCCCATTATTTTTAGTCACTAATAGTTATTATGATATGAAAGAAATTATTTTAATTTTATACATGGTTTGGTGACCGATATAGTGACGACCACATAGAAGTGGTCATTACATTTGAAGGATTACCAAAATTCAGTGACCGACTAAATATTTGATGACTAAATGATGTTGTTAGTAACCAAAATTTAGGTAGTCACTAAAAATTTGGTCACTAGTAATGACTTTTCTTGTAGTGAATGAAATAAAATCAATGGTTACGCATTTGGGCTATAATTTTATTTTTTTGCTTGGATAACCTACGAGTTTTGATTTTGTTATGTTTTCATCTCTCAAATATATTTGTCCTTCGGTATTTTTTATATAGGTTTTTTATTTATTATTTTTTAGTTAAAGAAAATGAATTAATTAATTTTTAGACAATTTAGATCCACACTCATACCCACACTGACACCCGCTCCTGCTCTTGCCACCGGTCACCAACATCCACCACCCACCAAAAAATAAATTCAAAGCAAAACTAAAGAAATCTAAACCTTAAATCATAACCCGCAATACCACCTTAATCTAACGTCAAACGATAATCTAACGAATTCAAGAATAATGTTTATATGAGAAACAAAAAGAATTCACCAATATTTTATGATAATAAAAAACCACAAAAACCAAGATGGACTGCATGGGATTAATATATTCTTCCAATGTAGTGATTTTCATACTTCATCTTTAAATCTAGTTAAGTTAAAAGAAAGATAGCAAGTCATGTGGTATTGACCATTTTAAAACAACAGATCTAAAACATAAGAATCCACTCACCGAGATTAATATTACAAATAAAAGAAAAAAAAATACATAGGAATGTAAGTTTTCCTTATAGATTTTATTAGACATTAATATTAAATCAAACATTTGCTCTTAGCTAAGGATAGTTATGGGTAATAAATTTTAACATTGGTTAATTACTACTAAATGACAAACTATTTAATATATTCTGAACAAGCGTTCTGCTAATATTTCCAAGTAACATAAGCATCCGTGTCATAAGGTTGGACGCGTAAGTAAACAAAAAGAACGCAAATAAAAATACAATAAAGTGTCTCTTTATATGAATAAAATCAAGCAAATAGTTCAAACGCAAAAATCTAATGAATTCTTGAGTTTCTTAAAAACACATAAATACATGTTCTAACTTTCTTTCTTCATTCCCTAAAGACTGCATCATTCTGCAGTAGTAATCTAGAAGTTGACTAAGTAAATGAAGAATTTAGATTTATAGCCATCTCTTAATCAAAAAACCAATGTAAAACAATTATTCAAATCCACCGGGCCACCATCCATCAACATAATATTTTTCGTAGTATATTTGTATATACACCAAGCTACTTCAATTTCTATTTGATATCACATTCTTCTTTCAATATTTTTCTTAGTAACATATTTTTCTTTGAAAAAATAAAAATTCCACTCATAGCATTGTACTTTTATTTTTATTATTATTAAACATGAAAATTGCTTTTAATAGTAAGATAAAAATAAATTTAAAGAAATTACAAATATAAATGAGTAAACAACCTGTTTGGCCCATTTTGGTCCAAAAAGAATGTTATTATTATTTTTTTCATTTTGATACCTATTCAAAGGTTCATTACGATTTTGGTTCCTCTCACTCTAACCCTGAGTTTAAATACCTTAAGCCTCTATCTGCAAGGTAAATGTATAGGCCAAACATAATTAAACTCACGGTGTGGGTGTGAGGGACGAAAACTGAAATGCGAAAAAATAATCCTTTTGGATCAAAACTGAAGGAAATTACTAAGTACTAGGACAAAAGACTATCAATGTTAGCTAGTATAAAAGTAAGAATGTACAAGGGATAGTGGAAGCACTTTGACCCACCCTTTTCTTTTTTTGAATAGAGACCATGAATTGGCTAATAGCAATACATAACTATCAACTTGAACATCATGTAGCTGCTATATAGTATCATTAATTAGTAAATTTGTGTCCAAAGGAGGGATTTTGATGCCTTGTGTATCAAATGATCTGTAGGAACTTTATTATGTTCAATCAATAAATTATTGTTATATTGAATCACATTTAAAGTCGTGCCATAAGCATTTTGTATAAATTACTTTAAAACAATATGACAAAGAAAATAAGTTTAAAACAAGCATTAATTTTTTTTCATATGCTCAACCAGTTCCCATGCCTCTTCCTTGTAGCCCTAAACAACAAAAAAACACTATTACAATAATCTGGGTTTCGGCAAAAAAAGTCAATCGAAATCGCAAAACAAAGCTACAAGGTGCCATGAAATCTGAAACTTTAGATAACTAATTTTGGACATCCATACAAACCAACTCAGTTTTAAGGAAAATACCACCAGTAAGAATAAAAAAATTGTTTTTAAATGTACGTGTTAGAAGGTAGGTAGTGAAGCAAGATTTGGTCCTCTAATCTAGACACTGGACTTTCTATCTAAGGGTGCAAACATCTTTATCTTCAATAGCTAGGAGCAATACTAATGATTTCCAAGAACCAACATGATGTCGAATAAGAAAAATGAATATGTAAACCTTCATAAACCCATATGCACCATATTAGAGTAAAATATTCAATAAAAAACACAAAATAGGGTCTTTATGTACAATTGAAAGACGAAAAGAAAAACGAAACACAAACCTGATGTTTTTCTTCTCTAAAATGGGGTTTAGGGCTTCTTTCCGAAGATTGGTGGTTCTTTCATTGCTAAAGAGCGGTGGAGGTGGTGGCTTCATACGATGGTAAGTTGAGTGGTGAAGGTCATGAGTTCCTTCATTCTTAATGGATGTAGGGATATGAATATAAAATAAAAAAGATACCAAAAAAACTATAGATCGGAAAAATCAAGAACGCAAATTTAATAGAAGAAGATGAATATGTTTGTGAACCTGTTTAACTTTTTAGAGAAGGTGATCAGTAACTGGGGAGTAGTGGTGGAATGGGCAAACGGTGATGGTGAGCGGCCTTAGGGTTTTTTTTACTGAGAGGAAGAATAAAAAGAGAAATGGAAATGATATCGCCTGATATAGGGAAGATGGCCAATAAATGAGAGATTTTTGCCGGATTTAAGGCTTCAACACAACTGACCGGGTGAAAAGCCTCCTGGAATTTGTGAATGAGTTTGAATTTCAAATAGTATGACTATTGAATTGTATTGACTTTTTTGCCGGAATTTAAGGCTTCACAAACACAATTGAAAATACCTGCTATGTTTTTGTTTTTTTTTTTTTTTTTTTTATAGGATCCTACAAACCACTTATTGCTGCGCGACGCAGCACACGCGCAGTATTTTCCCTCTCGCAGCAGTTTGTTTTTTGGAAGACTTCAGACTACAAAACCTCTGCGCGTGTGCTGCGTGGCGCAGCACTTGACTTGCCTCTTCTAACCTCTTCAACTTTCATTTTTCTAAGTGTTTTTTTAAGAATTTTTGTATAACTTTTTATTTTAATTTCTTTTTTTTTTAAACTTTGATTTTCTTAAATTTTTATTTACGGATGTGATACAATTTATTTTTATAATTTCCACGATTTTTTTAATTTGTTTTTTTTTTTACCGTTATATTTTCAATTTCAGTTACATTTTTTTTAATGTGTGTAATTTTTTACGAACTTTGTAGACAATGTTTGCAATACTTTCTTAAATTTTTTTATTATTTTCTTTTTTAATGCTTTTTTTAAATTAGTTTTTTTTTTCTAGAATAAAACTATTAGCTTCTTTTACATTTTTTAATGTTTTTTTTTTTAAAAAAGTTTTATATTTTTGTTTTTTACATGTTATTGTTATTATTATTTCAATGTTTTAAGACTAGAATTATTAAATTTCAATGTTGAGAATTATTTCAGTTTATAAAATTAGTTTATTTAAATTTTAGTTTACCGCAGCAGTCTGCAGATGTTAAAAAACAAACATGCTTCTTATTATAGGCTGCAGCCGTTTGTTCCACCTCTTCTGCTACAGAGGATTGCAAAGGTGGTCTGCAGACTTCATGAATTTTCGCTTCGAAAAAACAAACAGCACCTTAGGTGCTGTTTGATTTTCTGAAGCAAAAATTCATGAAGTCTGCGGTCCACCTCTGCAACCCTCTGCAGTAGAAGAGGTGGACCAAACGGCTGCAGACTATAATAAGAAGCGTGTTTGTTTTTTTAACATCTGCATATTGCTGCAGATATTAAAAAATTAAAATAAACTAATTTAATAAACCGAAAATAGCTTTTTAATACATAAAATCTAATAATGTATAACATTTCAGTAAAAATTAATGATATTTCAGTAAAAAATAATGATATTTCAACAAAAAATAAAGATATTTTCAGTAAAAAATAATGATATTTTATCAAGAAATTATCATTATTGAATATAAAAAAAATGAAAAATAAATTCAATAAGAATAAACGAAAAAAAGGGGAAAAAATGTGAAATAAAATTTTAATAACATATAATCAAAATTTTAGCAATAAAAAAAGAAGAAGAAGAGGTTGGAAGAGGCAGTACAAGTGCTGCGCCAAACAGAGCACGCGCAGAGGTTTTTGACTCAAAAGACTTCTAAAAAACAAACAGCTGCGAGATGAAAAGTGTTGCGCTTGTGCTGCGCCGCGCAGCAGTAAGAGGTTTGAAGAGGTTTTTTCCAAAAAACAAACAGCACCTTAGTGAATGAGTTTCTGCATTGGCCAAAAAAACACAAACATGCATATAAATTTTGTGAATTCACAGATAACATATCTATTACGGCTTATGTATGCAAAAGACACACACATACAACTAATCGAATTCACAAAGAACAATGATTACTTTTCTTCTGTAGTAATCGAGCACAAGAATTTTAGATATTAGGGTTTTTGATTATCACAGATTTACGGTATCAAAATTATTGGATAGGAAGCTTTGGTATTTTATAGTGGATTAGATCACCTAAAATATAGGAAAGACAAGTGTATATATCGGAATTAGTCAATAAACCAAAGTGGATATTATGTTTACTTTTTTAAATATTGACCAAACTAATATCCATGATTTGGTAATGCATAAAACGATTGTAAACAATGCAATAAGTTTTGTACAACTTGAAATTCATCATTTGACTAAAAATGCTTTATAAGGTATATATATATATATATATATATATATATATATATATATATATATATATATATATAACCTTATTAGTTAGAAAGAGAGAGAGAGAGAGAGAGAGAGAGAGAGAGAGTTATAACTATATATATATATATATATATATATATATATATATATATATGAGGTGGTTCACTTGAAATTATAAAAAAATAGAGATCTTGATATTCAATCTCAGCCACATATTTCAAATTTGTCGCTCTAACGCTCCAACACAATAGCAAGAGCGGAGTATGCTTTATTATAAATGATTATATGACAGAGAGATATAATCATATATGATTACACATGTTTATACGTATATGCTAGATCATTAATGATTATACATATATGTATATTCACAAATTGAGTAATCAAATATAATTATGGTGGTTGGTGGTAGATGGTGGTGGCAGAGGTGATGATGGTATAGGTGACAGATATGTCAATGGTGGGGTCGGTTGGTTGTAGAAGTATAACACATGAATCTTGGTAAGTTTCTCTTTTTCCCTTGCATTATTTAATTTTTCCAATTTATTCCTTGAGTTGTACGCAGGGTATACCACAAGGTACGCTTAGCATACAAGCTGTAAAGCGAGTACGCGGGGCGTACCAAGTAGTACTCTTAGTGTACTCATGCAAAGGATGGGTTGGGGATCTGAAGGTGTATGCCGGGCGTACAGTAGTGTATGTGGGGCGCACGTGATATCTTTTGAAAACCCTAATTTATTCACCCTCCTTGTCCTCCTACCGTAGTGTGGTCGTATCCCCTGCTGGCGAATCTATCTCCAATATCGATTGCCTATGGGGCGTGGGGACACTGGGGCCCATACGGTAAGTCAGTACTCTGGCCATGTATGGAGGATTGATGACCTCAGATTTTGCATCCGAGGCATCATCGTCATTGCCCTCGAGCTCTTCCTCTTCGAGGTTCACTACTGGCTCGGCGGGTTCATCAGTAAGTTCTACTTCATGTTCCTCCTCTGGTTCTTCCTTTAAGTCTTCCTCTGGGTCAAGCCACCATGCATTCCCATAACTAGGGAAATAAGGGTCTCCTGCCTAATGATTCTCGTTTATAGTGTATTTCACGAAGGGGGGGGGGGGTATAAATACTAGAAACAAATTGCACACCAAATACTCCTATAGTATTTTAATTTTGTTTAGGTTTGGTTCTATAAGCTCTTTGGGTAATTAAATGGTAAGTTTTTAATTTATTGTCCATCAAAATTACTCCTGAACACATGTTGATCATATTTTGAATGAATGTAGTTGACCGGGCTACATTCACCCCCAATACAACTACATAACTGCCCGGGTTTAATATCGATGTTCAAATCCTCCAAAGACTTTTATTGTTCTTGTTGTGTTATTACTCTAAAATGCACACATAAGTATGTATTTTAATTATTATGTTCTTATAGGTTAGATATGCCAGTTCACTATAAACAATGTTCTGATACCAATCTGTCACACCCCCGAACCAGATGGCAGAAACGTCTGGGGGCTTGTGCGTGACTTCATCTTGAAATATCATTACAGTGAATATAGATGAAGCATAACATCATCATTACCATGAATAATATAATACAACTTCCATTGTTTACATCAGGTACAATCTTCTAAATAACATGACCAAAACATTCAATGTATGATGTTTAATAGTACACAAAACAAAATGCCCTATTCTTGTGATTCTTTTGCTTAACGAGTCCCTGAGAATACAAGTTATTTTGAAAACATCAACATATATAATGTTGGTGAGTTCATAAGTATATTTGAGAAAATGGTTTGTATAACTTTGTAATCACAAGAAAATCCTGTATTTTCTTAAAATGGTTTGGTATGTTTATGTCTGATCTAGTATTAATGCATGTGTGTTATTGTTTAATAGAATGACCAAAGTGATTGAAGAGAATGTAAATAGAATGTCTCCGGACAACCCGACGTTGCCTGTAAAAGAAAAATAGTTAATGATGCCGTACCAACACCGAGGTGGGGGTACCAGTGTGAGTAAGTTTTCGAGTAATCCAATCATAAAAGAAAATAGATAATGTTGTCGTACCAACACTAAGGTGGGGGTACCAGTGTGAGTAAGTATCCAAGTAATCCAACATAAAAGAAAATAGTCTTCCGCAAACTTCTTAACATTAACTCTTCTAAGTGAGCCATCATAACCATACTGAATAATGACAATTTCGTCTGTCTTGCTAAGAGACTCTGATTATAACTATAGGCTACGATCGAACACGTAATAGGTGTCAACTGACAAAAACTCACTAGATCCTTAATCGAATTTACGCGAAGATAAATGTATAAAACACATTCCAGGCCCAACGAACCATGTAAGGGAGCCACTAGGGCATCGCTAAATATGTGAGTCATTTCAAAACATAGTATGAATGATATTATATAACATGTGCCCAAAATATATGTAAAAGGACAACTAAGACCCAATTCACATGTAAGGTATTTATAGGCCCAAATAACACGCAAATAGTATACAAAACCTATCAAACATATAAATGGGCCACTAACGCCCAATAACCTAGAAAATGATCAAAATTAATCCGTTTGTTAGTTTATTGTTGATTTTGGTTTAAGTATTCACTAAAATAGCATAAAATCCCAATTTTTGTAAAAATGACGTTCTTGGTCCAATAAGCCAAAAATTTACGTTTGAGGCCCCATTTTTGTAAAAATAACACTTTAGTCCCATTTTGTTCAAAACTTGTGTTTATGACTAGTTTGTGGTAAAAATAACATTTTAAACCAATTTTTATCAAAAATATCATTTTTGGCTTGATTTTTGTGAAAACACACATTTTTCTGGTTTTTGGTTTTTCTGACCTAGTTATTGAAAATTTTGTAGAAAAATCATCTTAAGTTGAAATTTGGATCCCTAAATTCTGGAAGTTTGGAAATTTTGTCTACTTTGTTCACAATTTTTTCACATAATTTTTAATGGCCTATAACAAGTGTGAAATTGCTCACATTTACAGGTTGGTCCGAAATAATTTCAAATCTGATAGGCAGTTTTGTAAAATTCGCCAAAAATTGTAGAAAAATCGTATGAAAACATGAGAGTATGCATTT